GGATCTGAAAAGATATGCAATAAATATATAGTAAATGAAATAATTCATGCATGTATACATCTCTCTACCTACTTCTATTTACAAACTGAATCTATCTATTTACATCTAAATAGACATGATACATAAATATCTGCCACTATTCTACAGGATATATCCTGGATTCCATGTTCATTAATAAAGATCAATCTTTATGATAATTTACATAGCAGATCCTGCTAAAGTGATTTTAGCTGCCCTCACATTCATTATGTAGCCAAGACTGGACTCAAATTCATGGCTATCGATTTGCCTCAACCTCTAAAATATTGAGATTATAAATTGAGAATATGTCATAATGCTCAGTAAACCACAAAGTATTTTAATCTCCATACATACAGATACAGTCACACACAGATACACAGTCACACACAGATACACAGTCACAAATAATACACATGTAAATGTTTACGCACTCAATTTGGTAAATACAGTATTTCTATTAAAGCGTCTAACCTTAGCACAATCATTGTCTTCTGTATTATAAAATCTGAACAAATAGAGTTTCAATTCATCAAGTTTCTTGTTTAGGGGAAATTTAACCCAAAGTAAATATCCATTCTTGAAATTAAAACAAAAGTACAAACCACAGTAAGAAAAAAATCAGATAAATAGATACTATTTTATTCTCTATTATGTATATAAAACAGTGTAACTTACATGATGTTATACACATCTTTAAATATTTACATGTCAAACTAAATCAAAGGTCTATTCTTTAGTAAATCGAAAAATGAAGTGCTAGACATTTCTTATTCCTTTCATTGGCATTATTTGTGCATCAGTTTTAAATTATCTAAAGGTAAAAAAATATATAAAGCTACAATATCTGAAAGTATATGAGATTAACATTATTGTTCTTGTATGGTAGTTTTAGATTAAAAATTAGTTTGTTTCAAATGGAGAAAATAATTATACAAATAAAGGCAGTACAAAATCTGTTGCTTAGGTAACTAATCCCCAATTATGTCAATGAAACACTAGGGAGCAACAAATAATATATCAGTTGTTTGTAAAGTTATACAAACACACACACATGTATAATTGTTGTATCTTAATGATGAAAAATGTTTCAAAATAAAAAATCCTGAAAGCATCATGGAGGAGTTGAAGGTTGAAGTATAAGTGTATATCTTTAACAGACTACATTAAAATTACAAATTGAAGGGGTCAAAAAATGGCTTATCAGTTAAGGGAACTTGCTGCCCTTGCAGAAGACCTGGGTTCAGCTAACAATCATCCATAACTTCAGCTCCAGGAGATCCGATGCCCTCTTCTGGCTTTCACAAGAATCGCACCCATGTGCACATTTACAAACATGCAGATAAAACACTCATATGCATAAAATATATAAATCAAAATGTGTCAACTGAACTGAAGTTATTTTATTTTTCAAGAGTAACTTAAGCAAAATTAATGATATTTAAGCAAATCAAATATGTCAAACATGAAATTCACTGATATTGTCATTGACAACTAATTCTACCACAATTATCCTTGCTAGTGAATGGTATAGCTAATTAAAAATAACACATAGTTACCAGATTATTTGTACTCTATTTTATAAACTATTTTTCTTCTAAAGTTTGACTAAAAAAGAATAAAACATTCTTAGACAAGTGAAGAAATAATACATGTAAAACAAGAAGGGGTATTCTGAAATTTTGCAGATTCTTTAATCTGCAAGGATTATTACTTTTTTTTCTATTTGTCTGCTCTAAAACAGATAATTTTATGTCTGTCCACACTTAACCACACTGCTCTGCCATTCCATTCTAGGAATAAACCAAGGACTAAAAATTGAGAAGTTTGTATCAGTGGAACACTGGGTGGTAAGTCAAATTTCTAAGAGGAAAGAATAATGCTCAAAATCTAACTTAATGGCCCACTATCATGAAGAATATAGATAATACAATGTACACCAATAAGTAGGAACTGTAGAGTCCTAGGTTTAAACACAGCTCCGTCATTCACTTATTTTATGGCCTTAAGCAATTAACTCAAATTCACTGAGCCACATATCACTTGAAAAATGAAGAAAATATCTGTAACATTACTGTGAAGATTCAATGAAATGTATATGAAACACTAAGCACCCATGAATAATAGCAAATTAATATGAATCAGACTTTTTTCCCAAATAGATTTGCTACTAATGTTTACTCAAGTAGATTAGCTTCAAGGCCTTTTTAAAATCATATTTTCTTTTATTTACCTATTCTCTAAAACTCTGAACACCAATATGATTATTTACATGGTGCTATATTTAGACTTTGATATTATATTTTAGAAGTCAAGAAACACATTATCAGTTGAGTACCAATATACAGCCCAGGCACTGTTACACAGCTTCGATATTTGTTTATATGTATAAGGCAGATTTCACTAATATCAGAATTTGTTTCTAAACATTTAAATTAATCAAATTTGTTATGCTTCTTTAAAAGTTTGAGTCTATTCCTAAATTCTCTCCCACTAATGACACCATCATCCAACCTGTTGCTCAAAACATGAATCATCTCAGACTCTTTTTGATATGCACCTATATTAAATAAATTCTCAAGCAGAAATAATTCTTAATAAATCCCTCTGGAACATCTTTTCTACTGTACTAAATGCCTCAGCTCAGACTTTCAGTATCTCTCCATGGAATGGCAGCAACTGCTCTTCCTCACTGCTATATATGCATCAAATTTATTTTAACGTGTTTATTCCATTTTTTAATAATAATGCTTTTAATATATAAAATGTCTTAAAAGAAAAAATGTACTATATGTAAAGTACAGCAGATGAACCCTTCGGATATAAATGTGAAGCCTGTGCCTTTCCATAATTATATGTGAGCCACAAAAGAATAAAAGTCCTAAAATACACTTTAGAAACTGCTGGTGCTTAGAGAAATATGAACTGTTTAGCATGATATATCAAATGCTGGTTTCATGAACTATCATTTCCTTCATTTTCTATTAATGCCACATCTTTTCCAAGTCTCCCACCTCAAATCTCTTCTCCAGTCTCCCTAATTTCATTGTTATTCCCTCATCACAATAAGGTCTTTCTCCTCTATGTGTTCTCTCTACCTGGAGTGTTGTTCCCCTTATTCTCCATCTGTGTGACATTAAATCTACAAAATATAGATCTAAAGATTCAATGTATCAAGTATTCAATTCACCAAATCGATTTGCTTTCATCTTGTGAGCTTATAACACCTTGTATGCAAGCATATTACAGTCTTTGTCAGACTCTAATATGATTAATAATTTACTTACCTTTCTTTTCTTTTTAAAAAATTATTTATTTATACTTTTTATTTATTTTTGGTCTTTTTGAGACAGGGTCTCCTGTAGCCCCAGCTGCCTGGAACCCACTGTGTAGGCCAGGCTGGTCTTGAACTCACAGAAATCAGCCTGCCTCTGCCTCCCCAGTGCTGGGATCAAAGGTGTGCATCACAATGCCAGGCTCTAACCTTTATTTTCAATTCTACTTTGAAGATGATCACTATTCACATATCTTTCCTTTTCTAAGGAATTAAAGCCCAAACATAGTAAGTACTTTATAAATGTTTATGTCACTTGGTATATAGATACATAGGTCTTGTATCAAATATGTTTTCTTACACGTAATTATCTTAAGGGTGTTTAAAATTTGGAACCTCTACACCTAAGGCCTCTATACCTAATCATAGTGGAAAAAGGAGTAGTGACAATACTAAAGTACTTCTCAACTCTCATTATGATGATCCCTCATACAACAGAAAGCCATGAACATAAAAGGACACAAATGACCAAAGTGTAGAGAATAAGAGTCTTCAGAGTATGGATCCTTGGACAAGACTCCTATATTAACCTTCACCCACCCAGGGCTCAGGGACCATTTCAAAAGTGATGATGGAAAGATTGTAAGAGCCAGGGGTGGAGGTGCATGATCATATGAAAAGACAGTCTTACAGCTCCTGGGACCTTGTTCATGTGAATCTACAGCAATAGAGTGTCAGCAAACACAAGCCCTTCCAAACTGAAGCAGACCAAGGCCCAGCACAGAACTGTGTAAATGGGCAGGAGTCTCCAATTTTAGCCAAAGAACTATTGGCAACTGATTAATGCTGGGTGAAGAAAAGCTGATCTTCTTAAAGGGAGGAAATATTTAGGCTGACTGATCTCGGTGGATGAACTTGAACTGAGGGACGTATGGGGACACTAACTTGACTCGATATGCCTTAGCACAAATGACAGAACATAAGAAATCCATTGGGAGGGGTGACTATGGTAGGGTTACAATGGGGCAGGGGGTATAAAATGATTAAGATGTTCTGTATGAAACACAAAAATTCAATTAAAAATTTACAAAAAAAGTTTCTATTAAAGAACTATTAAGCTAACATTTCAAGTGTTTTATAAACTAGTGTATACCTGTTAGAGAGTCAATAAGTTCTGTGGTAATTCATGAAATTGGTATTATTACTAATTTACCACACTTTTTTGAAAAACATTATTCAGAGCAATGATCACTTACAGTTTTTACTATTCTAATATACTGTTTCTCTTCAAAAGATGTATTTTATCTCCACCTTCTTAACATGGTATAATAACTTAGACAATATATACAGGTTCTCAAGCCATATAAAAACAAAAAAATATATAAAGTAAACAAGTATGCTGTGTCTTATAGAAAGCTTTCAGATGATGCTACTTTTTTCCTTTTTCTCATCCTTGCTCCCAGCACACAAATATACACATTGAAGGGATTTCCTACAATGATATAACTTTAAAAAAGTCAAATCCATGTGATTTGAGTCACTGAAGTAGCAAAACTTGTTTTCATGAATACTAAAAAAAATTCAATAATGTAACCTCTAGTAGGGCTTGAAAACCTTTGAAGGATGAAACACTTAGATCAATATTAGTTTATTTCAAACTCTGGACAGCTGGTAAAGACTAAACTGATAAACAGATGGATTTTATTACCTGTTGGAGTTATAAGTCCTGGTGATAAGAGGCCTGGAACTGCATGGGGCAGCAGGCGGGCATTGTCTTGCAACACTCCCAGAGAACGCTTAGGAGGTCTACCAGGCCTTGAGCTGTTGATAAAAAAGATAAAGATCACTTTATCATCACTTACTACATTCAAGTTCTAAATTCTGTTTAATTGCCAGGAATAAAAGAACTTTACAGTACAGATTATGTGCTGTCATAGATTTAAAAAAAAAAAAGTTGTTCACTATATTTTGCAATGCAGGCAAGGCAAACATTAAAGACATCATTTCCAGTTTAGATTCCATTTGCAGGACAATACATGCAATGCAGCTTCATGCAACTTATATATTGGGAAGAATTCCTAAAATACTCCCTGCCCTTAAAGTTATATGCAATCCCTAGAATTAATACATGCTACTAAGAGCTGAGGTAGTCAGTCATGGAATTAACATTGTACAAATGTGAAGTAATTAAGCCTATGTTCAGCATACCAGAGCTCAGGAGTAAAGAACTGTAAGATGTACAATAAAACCTGATATTCAGCCAGGGGTGGTGGCACACACCTTTAATCCCAGAACTCTGGAGGCAGAGGCAGGTGGATCTCTGTGAGTTCAAGGCCAGCCTGGTCTACGTAGTGAGTTCCGGGACAACGGGGGCTACCGGGAGACCCTGTCTCAAAAAGACCAAGAAAAAAAAAAAAGAACCTGATGTTCATTAGTATTTCCACAGCTGCTAAAAATGCTTGAGAAACAGAAGACACCCACTCCCATTAGGTTTTCATATTTTCCTGTCTGTTTTTTAAACAAGGCTAAACTAATAATACACTCTCTTGGACTGACTATACTAAGAAAACCTACTAGGTAAACCATCTTTTTCTCCGACTGTTTTTTTTTTTTTTTTCATGATGAGCCAAAACTTAAAACATTAACCTGAACTGCTGCATTTAACATTGTTAATTCCAGTGCAAAGAGCTAAGAATGGCAATTTTAGAAGCTGGAATTATAGCTCAGTAGTCAAATGTCTGCCTTATATATGCAGGGCCTTGGGATCCATCCTAAATACAAAAGCATAGAAGAGAACAAAAAATATGGCATTGTAATGAAATAAAAATGTGTACCCTAATACAGCTGGTGTACTAATAAACACCATTTGGTGGTTGTCACAATATGGAGGCTTATAAATCATAGCAGATTGGGATCAAGTCATTACCAAGTCACCAAATACACACACACACATTAATTTATATAAAATAATATTTACTTGTGGAAGAGGGTTGGTGAGTGCCAAGCGCACATGTGGAAGCAAGAAGAAAGCTTGTGGTGTCAGTTCTTTCCTTCCACCATGTGAGTCCTGAGGATTCACATCAGGTGCTAGGGCTTGGCGGCAAGCACCTTTATGCACTGAGCCATCTTTCACATCCAATATTCTAAATATTACTTTTAAATGTTGTCTAAGAGGCTCTTTGCCTCAGTTGAAATGCATTTTTTAAAATAGAATAATAGGGCTTTTGAAAAAATACTGCAAAATATTATGTTAAATAAACTAAGCATAAAAAAATCCAGGAGGTTCAGCTATACAAAATTTGTAAAAATTACTTTGGGTTCACAAAGAAATATAAATTAAACTACATTCTATCAACTTTGCAGTAGAGAAGTGGTCCATTAATATATCACAAACTGTGCTTGTAAATGAAGACAACTTCTAGAAACTTTCCACAGAGGTAATGTTCCTGAGCTCATTTTTCACAAACTGTGCTAGTGCTATTTTCTTCCATTATACATCAATATTGTATATGATTTCAGCATGAAAATTCTGTTTTTATCATTCAATGTTTCAATTTTGTAAACGTATACTCTTCTCCATTGTACTCAATTCCGGGCCATAGTTGGCTTTATTTAATTCTGTGCCTTTGCCTTTTTTGCCTTTGTCCTGTTTTATGAGTTCTTAGGTCTTTTAAGTATGCTGAAAAGAGTGACATAATATTCATTTCAAATGTCCTAAAGGAACCTAAAATCAGTGAATAATGTGCATGAGAGTATATGCAATCATTTGAAGGAAGTACATGCTAAATCTTCCTGCAGTCACACATATACAATAACAATATCACATACGCAGTCATCTATTAAACCAATATATATTAGGTATCCATTGAGTAAATGCCTAGGACATTGCTATGTGTCGATAAAAGGTTAAAACTTAAGGTGAAAGGAAAGGCTTTTTAACTTATTTTACCCCATCGGTATATTGTGAGAATATAGAAAAGGTTCTGTGTTTGAAAATTTTGTGTTCTAGTGAAATGAATATGTGTTGGCACTATTGTTGACCTTTTTAATTGACACTTTAATGATGATTGTGATGTGCTCTCTAAACTTGTTTAAATGTAACAGTGTGCAAAAGTTGTAGCTTGATATTCTTGACTTCAACTTTGTAGTAATGATTTTGGTGCCTAGAGTAAATTAGTTGGAATAAAGTTTGTGAAAATGTTTATGATCAGTAAAATTCCATTAAAGGTATGATAGAATTATTATTGCTATTTGTTACTTTTAGACTTCCTTGTAGTACATTATAAGTCATCAGTAGTTGCAAAGTCCCTGGATCTCATTTCCATTATACAACCCTGACAACATGATAAAAGACTGGGGAAAATTATGTAAAAGTTGGGAAAGATCACACTTGATAGATAATCCTGTAACACTTCTTATCTTTAATAGCTTTATTAACATCAGGTGGCTATTTGCATATTAATCAAGACAAGTAAACATGTGGTGATTTAACTAGAAAACTACTATTTGGATGGCAATTTAATCAGCGTAGGTTGAAAGGTCCCATCATTGTAACATCCTGTTTCTACTAAAATATTGATTGCATTATTTTACAGGGCACAGATAACCATGTAATTACTCTTTAATTGAATGATAATTGCTTCTTGGCAATTATTCGTTTCAGTTTAATTACAAGGTTATTTGTACTCTATAAAATGAAACAACATTCCCCCTTTTTTAAAAATTGCCACCCAAATAGCTCTCCTGGTATGTCACCCATGCACAAGCCAAATAATCCCATAATATAATCAAGATATTCATAAATCACCCAGCCCAACTGTTAAGAGAGTCTGTATTAAAGAATTAATACTAAGTATACCATTTAAAGATAATTTAGAATATCCTAGTTACTTCCTATTGCTTTGATGAAACAAAGGTCAAAACCAACTTGGAGAGAAAAGGTTTATTTCACCTTCAGCCAATACTTCACCATGGAGGGACGATAGGGCAGGAGCTCAGTGAAGCAATCAAAGTACAGACCACGGAGGAGTCCTGCTTTGCTGGCTTGATACTCTGGCCTGTGCTCCATCTGCTTTGGTGTACATCACAGGACAATTTGCCCAGGAATGGCACTACACACAATGGGCTGGGTCCTCCCACAGTCCTCAGCATTCAAGAAAATGCCCCATCAACATGGCCACAAGCTAGTCAAATGGGGAAATTCTTCAAATGAGGTTCTCTCTAACCAGGTGTGTCAAGTTGACAACTGAAGGTATCCGGCACAATATTGAAATTATTCCAAAATATCCTGGTCTTTCTCTGAATCCATGATTTTAACAATTTATCCTAATGTGGTTTTCTCTTCCATTCTATAAAATTCTTTAGCAGAAATAAACTAGGAGGTCAATATCCTGAAATTAAGAATAAACCATTTTCAAATAAATGACAGTGGTGATTCTTATTTCTGTAATAGAACTGGATTTACTTCCAAAGTATAAACTTCAAAATGTTGTAAGCTCTCTAAAAGAGTTTAGCAAGTCTTCTGGTAGCAACAAGATATAACATATTCTGTGCTGTATCTGTTTCAGGTAGTAATAGACAATGTAGCTGATAATTTTTTCATTAAGAGTATGAAAGTTCTTGTTAGATTTGTTTTTATTTCATATAATCATCCATTTATGTATCAATGAGTAAGCAATTGATGAAAGTACTTTCCTTATCCTAAAGAAATCATCATGTTAATAAATTAGTTAAGGATGTTGTAAGTCTTTAAGATGCTTAATATAAATGATACTGTTGGTAGTTAATTTAGTGAAGAAACAGGTTATATCATCTTCTTCAGTAAAAATCTACCTCACTGTCCCCTAAAGAAACAAACACAAAGTTCCAAGACTAAGTTGATAAAGATCTACTTGCTAATAGGCAAGGATGTTATTACTAACAGCTTGTAAAGACTATTGCATTTAAATCCTTGAAATGAGGGTTCTAAGCAATGACCTTGGATTCATTCTTCCATTTTCAGAACTGTCATTGATATTTAAAATCCCTCCTGACAGTCCCTGAATGTATAATTTTTATATTACATTAGATATTTCAATACGAAGAATGATATTAGCTTTGAAGTTGTCCACCTGCTTATGACAGCACTCTCAATAATTTCCTCTGTGCTTGTTAAACTAAATAAGAATCTTATTTTTTGCCAGAACACTACGATTCTTATTACATCACAGATTAATAATTATCTCTTGGGTTTGGCATTTATTACAAGGTATCAAGAATGCCAATGGTAGTTAAACTCTACCTGACCTTTCTGTGTTTATGAAGAAAAACAAACTTTGACTTCACAGAGACCTGAATCCATTTTTTTTCAATGATGGCAAACTGATCACTTGCCTAACCAATTGCACCTGATTGTATTCCCAAACAGATCAAAGGCAGTAGTAACCAGTTCATCCACTAGGAAAAAGTCATCCATGCAAAATGAACAATTAGAATTAATCATAGAAGAAATGGTTTAAGTTGATAACTAGAAACTATTCACTATATTAACTCTCATAAATTGGTGCTTATGTTAAACAAGGACCAATCAGTCCTTGGTTCATGAGAACTTGGGATTATGACTCATCTAGTTTCTAGGAGTTATCAGCACAAGACAGAAAAAACAACACAAGAGGAAAGGTCATTTAGATTCTATTATTATCCACTCTTCAGAACTTGTAAGCATACTCAAAATTTATATGTGGTTCATTAAATGTAACAATGTTGAATTTCCATTAGCATTGAAAAATTTCAGAAAATTATGTTTACCTTAAGGGTATTGCTTGAAAAAGGAAAATATCCAA